TATCTTTTCCCTTTGTGCAAACGTGTATTTTACTAGTCAATTGTTCCATCTTCAACATGACAGAGATTTTCTACCGAGTCAAAATAGAGATTCACAAAGCTCATGAAGAGGTTCAAGTTCTTGATTTCAGGGATTATATGCATGTGTACTTTCTTTTCTTTTCTTTTTTTCTTTTTTTAAGGTTAATAAGTGCATTTTATATTATATATGTATGTTAACCAAGTCAATTAATCAGCCCTTTACCATGTTATTTTTTTTTTTTAACACAGACAAGAAAATCTTCATTAATTACAGCAAACTATTGGTTTGTGAGACAAAAAAATATAACTTTTTACATAGTGAAACTGTTAAACTGAGACAACAAAATCTGGATTTCTGGTGCTTTTTTATTATTTTCTTTTTATATTTTTTTTTTCTACTTTTGTTTTTAAGTTCAAAACATTGATTTTATGAGTCAATTCCCTTGAATTTTATATGCCAAATGTTTTTTATTTTCTCCATGTCATCTTAAATTAAGATAATATAAAACAATTAGTTCCTTTTTTCTTTCTGACTTTTGTATGGCCAAATTTTCAAGATCTTCATTTTCCATTTTATTTAGAAATAAAACCTCAAATTTTTCAATAATGATGAAGACGAGCTCGCAATAGCCTTTTCTGGCGAAATATGATTGCATGTCGGTTCGAATAAACTATGTATTCTCTTAGTACATATATTTCTATTATTTATCACTTTTATTATTGTTATGTTAGTAACATGCCTCAGTGAAGGCAAATTCATCTTACTTAAAAGATACATAAATAAGCAGAAAACTCAATGAAAACAAAGCTTAAATCAGCAAGAATTACAAATGGTCAGACTAGTTATATTTTGATACTTTTTCATACTGCCCCTAAAACACCATATTTTCAAGTCCAACAAGATCTAAAATGCAGGCAAATTCATCTTACTTAAGAGCTACATAAAAAAGCTTAAATCATCAAGAATTAATCAGTCGAAAAGAACCTACGACACAGTAAATTTTCTTTTTATCACACGGACGGGAAATACTTGTTGAGGTTAAACGGAAGCGAATAGAACTCGGCACTTCTTGAGTCGGTTTTAAACGCGCTAAACTTATCCCACCAGTGTTTTCCCCTGTCTTTCCTTACCTGTGCATCCTTTTTCTCCAGTGTATTGTCCAGTAAATATGCCAAAATACCCGCCACAAATGCCTTTGACGAAAACGGGACGTTAACTATGTCATTGAACTGAAAATACCCAAAAAAAAAAAAAAAA